TGGAGGGCGGCAGGACGAGGCCCGGCGCGGCTGTGAGTGCGGGTGGTCGTGAGGTGTTTCAGGAGAGGGGAGACCTCGGCGGTACGGCTGGCCCCACGCCCCAGCCCACGGGCGACAGATTCGCGGCGTAAGGCCCGAGGCCGGCTCCGCTGAGAAGCTGCTAATCTGCTTTTACACTGAGGAAAAGGAAGCAAAACGGTTTTTTTCTGCCTTTCGGGGGTGCGATGGACGTTTATCTCTGCCCCCCAAGGTCAGGTAATTACATGTTGCCCCTCGGTGTGCTTGGGAGGACCCTGCTAGCGCACCAGGGAGGAGGACGGCTTTCCTTTGGAAAGCTGTGGCAGCTCCTCTAAAAGCAGCTAAACCTGAGAAATGGTAATTCTTTTGCTTGAACGGTATCTGAAGCCGTTGAGGCACCTGGAGTTTGAAATGAGGCGGAAATACGTCTGAAAGCGAGGTAGGAACTCACTCTGGGAAGACTAAGGCTGGAGGAAGCACAGCCGGTAAGGCGGGACGGCGTCAGAGTCCTGCACGTGGAAGTTCTGCTCCTGACGCAGCTTCCCGAAGGTTGTCCTGCTCCTGCAGACCGGCCGGGCTCCTCAGCTGGGCAATATAGCCTGGATACGTAAACAGCTGGGGTGTGGCAGCTGATTGTATAGGTCCTGCTGCTGCAGTAGGTGTCCCGTGAGCTGTCACACAGCCTTCAGGCTACGTAAAGGTTTGGCAGTATTTCATTTTTCACTGGACACTGATGAGAAGTAAACCATCGATGGCTCTCAAGGACGCCGTTGCAAAGGCAAGGTGAATCAGGTCGCTCCTGCCTCTTGCGGTCTCTGAAGTTGTTGTGAGGGGAGCGAATCTTTCCCCTCTGCCTTGCTGGGCCGTCCGCTCCTGACGTCCAGTAACGGCATTTAAATGTCAGCAGTGGCTGTTTGGTGTTAGTCACTCTGAAAGGGCTTTTAGAGGAAAGCGCAGGCAGGAAAATTCAAAGTTTAAATAAAGCGAAGAAGAAGGCAGAATAGTGGGCTTAAAGATTGGAGCATTTCCAACTGGCTAGGGCTGTTTCTTTAGGTAGTGAACAAAGGTCGCGTCTTACATTTGGGCTGCGTGTTTGCAACCTTCCGTTGACATAAAAAGGAAATCTGCTGCTTGTAAATACTGTGTTGTCTGAAAGTCATATCCTAGTCCAGGGAGGTTTTATTTTTATTTTTTAAGGGGAGTTTGATCCTCACGCTAAAGTACATAGGATGCCTTCATTTAAAGCAAAAAAGTTTGTTTCTTTCCCAGCATAAATACGTATGTTCAGCGACTCAAAATCTCTTTCAGGTGGCATACCGACATATTTAAAATGTCGATGGATATAACTTTCCTCGGCACAGGCTCGGCATATCCCTCTCCAACAAGAGGAGCATCGGCGTTAGTGCTTCGCAGGGAAGGAGAGTGCTGGCTCTTTGACTGCGGAGAGGGAACTCAAACACAATTCATGAAGAGCCATCTCAAAGCAGGTTTGCGCTGTTGAAAGGTATTGTGATGAGGGAAAGGGGAAAGTTTCATGAGATCTAAACAAAACGCTTTGTCCTCGTGCTCGTGGTATTTGAATGCATGCTAAACATGCAGGAGCGTCTGAAGGTGCTGCGTATGGGTGGCAGTTGCTGAACCTGCTGTGCAGTAATCCTCGATTGCCCTTTGGTAAAGGATTGCGTTCGAGAACCAAACTCTCCTGGATTAATTTCTTGGGCTTTGTAATTTCAAACGGGGGCCGCAGACCGGCTTTAAACTGGCACGGTTTGTATTTGTCTGAAGACAGCTCTAGACAACACCTGCTGTGAGTCTTCCTGCCTGTAAATGTTGTGCTTTTGTTTTCAAGTAAAGCTGTGTGTATTCGTGGTAACTTTTACATTTTGGCAAATAAAGTAGAAGCCAGACTTGCCGTCGGTCGCTGTGCTTTTGCAGTCTACAGCGGCAAGAGCAGACTTCAGACGCTCGAGTTACAAAGATGGGTTTATCAATTATAAACAGAAAAACAACCTCCTGCTCCCCCAAAGTCTGAAGCTTTCAGGGGATTTAATGACCAATTGAATAGACTTAATTTTTACTAAACTTACTGATTTTTGCTAAATTGTTCTTAAATCAAAACAAAGAGATTGTGTCCTTCCTATTGCTCGGTCCTAACAGATGCCTTACCGCGAGGAAGTGGGAACTCGGCTAGCAGAGGAGACTGAGGCAGCATGGTTAAAATACACGTGTCTGTAGTGAGAGAAAATTCCGGGCTTTTTTTTAATCTAGCAGGAGCAGGGCCTGGTGCCTGAGAGCTGGAGTGAGACAAACTCAGGCGCGAAGCAAAGCCCAAATCTTCTAAGTGCAATTTTTCATCTGTTCGAAACAAATCAGTCGGGAACCGTGGGGTTCTTGCCTTTTAAAAAAACTTTGAAATCCAAACTGGGTGCTGCTTTTTTTTTTTTTTAAATTATGTTCGTTTCATGCGCTAGATTCAAAACGAGGAACAACAGAAATTCCACTTTATGTTTCTCATTAGTGTACAGTTTCCACGTAATGTATGAAAGCACAGCCACTTTCCAGCACTTCTTTGCATTTTAATATGGCAGATGTTACCAGTCGATGGTGGCACACTTGTTTAGAAGCAACTAAAACTTCTGCTTCGGCAGCCTTGTCTTGACGAATCAAGCCAAAAGAAACCTTGTGTGGAAATTTATCGCTGCTGCGGGGAAAAAAATACTTTGTGGTTTGGGATTTATTTCTTAAACACTGGTTTTATTTTAATTTCCCTCCTTCCTTATTTCCTACTTCTTGCCAAAAAGTGATTATTTCTGAGTTGTTACGGTGTTCATCTATTCTCCTGTCTTTTTCTGGTTTGTTTTTCTTTTCCTGTTGTTCTAACCAATAGGCAGAGTTACCAAGATTTTCATAACTCATCTTCACGGTGACCACTTCTTTGGACTTCCTGGCCTGCTGTGTACACTTAGCCTCCAAAGTAGCCCTGACGCAAACAAACCACCCGTTGATATTTATGGGCCATTAGGGCTGCGAAACTTCATACGGAGGAGCATGGAGCTCTCCCACTCGCA